ATATGTTCTCTTCAACTATATTTTTACAACGAAATTTCAATTATGGATATTAATAAATTTTTTAAATTAGTATTATTAGTAAATTTGACGTGTGTAGGTTCGATATGTTTCCTTAGAGTCAGAGAAACTGGAGGAACTCGAACGTGAACCATGTTCTTTTTTTTTTCAATAATACTTAGTTTCTCGAAAAGAGCCTGATTTATAGAGAAGAAATATCTGCAGAGAAGTACTCACATTTGTCGACTGTGAACCTTCTTGAGCCTTGGGATTCAGCTCGAACTCAGAGTCCCTGTTGAAACTGGGACTGCTCAGATCACTATGACTGGAGGAGGTGCTGAGAGGACTTTCCGGTCTCACAGCAGATTCCTCCTCCATTCCAGGATACTGCAAAGCGTTTGGTGGGTTGTAGAGGTTCTTCGGATCCACCGACAGAGACATCGGCTGAGGCTTTGCAGTTTGCGAGCAATTGTTGCCTACAAAATCATCAGTATCCTCGATTTTAACACTGTTCTCTTCGTATGAGACATTAACACATTGCTGACGGTTTACTGTGAAATGGATCGAAACTTGAAAATGATAAATCGACACGAATAGTTTTGACATGAGTAGTTTTTAATTAAAAAATAATTAAACTAAAAATTAATTTAAATAAATTTTAATTTTAATTAAATTAAATTTGAAAACCCACGATGACAATTGGCGTCTTCAGTCGCTAAAAATCGAGAAACGAAAGATAACACGTCCACAATGTGTTAACGACACCAAAAAGAAGAAAGAAACACAGTTACCTGGAGACAAGTCAGAGGACACCATCTCAGAAACGAAATCGCTCAACGAGGAGTAAGAAGAACTCGTGCTCTTAGCTTCTTCCGAATCAGACTCGCTCTCGTCTGTCAGTTGAGTCTCGTGCTCCTTCATCGACTTCAAAGCGTTCGCCAGCGAGCTACCGGGGTCCCAAACTGGGAAATAAATCGGTTCTAACTCCGCGGCGAACCATTTAGGCTTGTCTCCGATCTGAAACGGATCGAACACTCCGGTCTGCACCCTGAGAAATGCCACGTTGCTCGGAGTGAGTGACCATTCGGCTAGAAATTCCACCGCTTGTGTCCTCACGAATTTATTAAGAAAATGACTGGTTCTCGGTCTGGATCTCAGGAAAGAGTTGATCTGAAAGGCGACCACCGGCCTTGGATACAGCCTCAGTGTCCTAGTGTGCTCGGTGAAATTGGCCAGGAGATTCTGCGAGTTGAAGAATCGCACCATTGCTACTCTGGTCGCGACGTCCACGGAGTCTACGTCGTTCCCGTAGACGAAGGGATTGAACGGAGGCATTGCTTGAGAGGAGAGCGGTTTCTGAGGTGGCGAGGAACCAGCCGAGTGAGACATGGAGGATCGACGACCACCGGAAGTTACGTTGCCGCCGGGAGAACTCGAGGGACTTATGGGATGCCCGTGATGATCCATGCTTGGTCTGTGTTTCATCGAGGAGACGCTGTATGTGAATGCATTAATTGTTAGAGAAGGAGATCTTTGTCTAATTCTTTTTTTCAGGAAGAAGGAAAAATTAAAATATTAAAAAATTTATTTAAATGCTACATTAAGAACGACTACTTTTTTATTAATTTCTATTGTAAAGTATTTATATTATACACCTAAACGTAAAAGAGAAAGAAATTTTTTTTTATTTGTTGAATTTTTCTTTTAGAAAAGTTTCCTGTTTTTTATTCCGAGAAAGGTAGAAATGGGGAAATTAAGATATATTAAAAATTACTATTTTCTTATTAATTCCTCTTATCGATTTATAAAAATACGGATAAACCAGAATTTCGATTTTCTGCAAAGTAAAAATGAACGATTGACGACAAAAACAAAAAATAAGCGTCGAATACTTTTTTAAGTACTACCATATGTAAAAGTTTCATTAATATCGGTGATTACCACTTTGGGAAATCCCCTTATCACCAGTTCTAACCACACATCGATCAACGTATCAAAATAATCTACCTCAAAGTGGACAGATGGATCTCCTTTCTGCTTTGAGCCTGCATAGAAGGCCTCGGAGAATAGTCTTGCGAAAGTTGTTGCGGTGTTGACATACTGGCCATTGCCTGAAAAATCAATCCATCGATAAAGAGAGAAAATATTTAAAAAAAAGATAAAAGAATTTCAACTAAAAATTCTTCGTAAGAATAGCTCGCGTAATTATTTATCCGAGTTGTTGAAGCAAACTACGTCTACTTCGTCTAAGATCTAGATCTATACTACACATCCCACTTCAGGTCCCCTAAGCTTCCGGTTTCTCTCCCGTTCGTTCGGAAGTGCTTTCTCTGTTATTTTTTTTTTTTTTTTCGAAAGATCGAAATTAAAGAACTATTTGTTCAATAGGCAAAACTTGTTTCATGCCGCTAACTACAACACAACGGTAGATCATGATCTATGATAATTATGCTCCATGCAAAGAGTGGATAAATGAAATATTTACACCAGAGCCGGTTTGGTCCATCATTAGCATTGCCTGTGGAACCGATCAAACGAGGAACAATTAAAACAACGTTGCTCAGTGTTTAAACAGTGTCGATCGAGTGTCTACGATAAAAGTGTATATACTCGTCTTTATCTGGGGATATTGACACATTCGCAGCCATATAATTTACGTCTTTTTATCGTTCATTTCTTGTTCACGTTAATTATAGATAATTCATAAATTATACTCTTTTATTTTTGTAAAAAGAAATAAGAGGATTTAGGGATTACTGATTTTTTTCATAATTTCTTTCTTAACCCTTTAACATTCACATTTTTCTCAACCTGATATGCCGAAAATTGTTGATATTAGTTTTTTTTTTTATATCTTCTAGGCGTATAGAAAAAAGTTTGTCGTTGATTTATAATGCTGTGACTTAGATTTTTGCAATAGAATAGAAAGGATAGCGTAATCTGTAGAGTGAAAGAAAATAATTAAACACTTTTTCGAGGATTAATTGCGCGCGTGTAAGAGTTAAAGGGTTAATCCTTTCACTGCTAAGTACTATCGACATCTTTAGTCACTTCTAGACTCTTTTATATTTTTATATTATTTATTTTAC